CGCGTTACCGTTCCTCGCTGATATTTAAGTTTCGCGTATCAAATGAAATAGCTGGGAAACTCGCTTGCAAAATAAGTTTAAGAAAAATTGTTGCTTTAAACTTAATATTTCGGCGGATACGTTGATGGAATTTTCCTCGTGGAATATTTTTAGCGAGGCTTTTTATTAATTTTTTCTTTCTATTGGTGTTTCTCTATTTCGTTTACGATGCTCTTGTAAACTACCATTGACGAGGATGTTTTGAATTTTATCGAGAGTATGCTACGAACGAAATATTTATCGTTTTGTTTACCAATGTATGTTCGAACATTCCTACGTAAAATTTAATCTTGTGTACAAAATTCTGTTGGAATAATATTTTTCAAAATAATGATTACGCATTATAATCTAAATACAAAAGTTTGTTACCGGGAATTTTCGATAAAGTTTTGTGCAAACTAATAACGATAAGTAAATATATGGTGAAAGATAGTTGATCGATGCTTTGATGTTTCCTGGTACAAATTACAAGGATCCGGGTAAACCAAGCGTTGGTTAATTACTATTTGATTGAAAACCAGTGTTAGCTTGAGCATATATAATTCGAAAATTAGAAAATTAAAGGAAATCAAATCTTTCCGATTTCCCGTTGAGCTGATGTTCAGTTTCAATTTAGCGAACCGTCATCAAAAGGAAAATCATGTCTATTCCGTGTACGTATCAAACGTTACAACCGCCATCTTCTTCGAGAACATTAGACGATATTGCAGTGACGTTCAGCGTTTCCTCTCAAGCGCGAGCTCTCCAAACTTTGGCCGAATCGAGGATAGAGCAACAGACGAAGAGAAGCGGCAACCGAAGAGAAACGAGAGCAACGAGAAAGCTGAGGGCAAAACAGGAGGAATGGCTGAATATTCCTCGAGGACGGAGCTCCAGTGGCTGGTAACACGGACGTCTAAGCGTACACTGATTTAGAAACTAAGGTATAACGCTAATATAGAGCTATCTTGCTACGTGCACATAAACACACAGAGTACATATACAAACGTAATAAATACGCCTTTCCCAGAATATACACACGAGCATTTATTGAAATTATTTACGCCTCTTTGGCGCTTATAACTTCTGACTGTATTGTATGTATTGTATGTAAGATGTTTATTTAACAGAAAGAAATAAATAATAATTGTGATAAAAGAAGTACGATGTTTTTTTTAATTTTGTACATAATAAAAATTGTACGTGATAACGAAAATTTTACTAAATATTGTGCACATCACATTTTATGCAAACAAAAGAAAAAAAATATTGTATTGCTTTCAAAAATTTAAAAGCGGAATTGTATTAAATAAATACATTACAAAAATAATTATCTATAAAACATTTTTATACAATTTTTAAACATACAATTATTTAATATTTGCTAAAATATATATATATATAAGAATAAATATAAATAAATTTATATTACATTTACCTGATTTTAAAATATTTCTAAGAATTTGTTTCTACGTGAAAATTCATAATGCATAAGATAGAAGCACAAAAAGCTTTTAACAAAGTCTTTATCAATATCGTTAATTCCAGAAAAAGGAAACAACGATAAAAAAAATATTAACTGAAGAAATATACCAACGCAACATTAGATCTTAACATCTCTCTGTCTAATCAAATAAATCCGTTTCAAAACAGAGAGAGAAGAACTACAAAAGAGTGAATAAATCTCCGCGTTCTAGATCAATTCCAGTTAGAACGATTCCATCGAATGCAATCAAACATCGCGAGAGAGAGATAGAGAGATTGTTGACCCAAACGCATTCGAAGGAAACGTCCCTGGGAGTTTGACGTCAGAACGGTACCACGAAAGCATTTCGTGGGAATTTGAAGGTATACGAAGGTATACGAGACCACGAGCATTCTCTCTGGAGGGCCAACAAGCAAGGAGCAAGTAGTGCGATCGCGTTATGTTGCAGACTGGAACTCTCGTTAACCGTGTGTGTGTACGTGTGCATGCAGGGACCCCCTACACCCCCAGGAGCCACCCCCCCTTTATTCACCTCCGCCTCAGCCCCCTTCCACCGTTCAACCCTTCCTTATTGCAAGTTCTACGGTTCGTGCATTAAACTATGGAGTTGCCCAGGCATCGACCCAACCCTACCATCTGGATATGCGGCCCGCGCGCATATACGCTATGTACATTTCTAATCAAGCGATATTGTAACTGCGGTCTAACCTCCAAACACCACGGCCTCCAACAGCACCTCCATTCCCGTCTTCCCTGCCGGCATCGTTGCCCCCACCGTGTTACTCCCCCCCTCTGACCTCTCAGCCACCTTCTACGACCTTATCGAACTTCTTCTTTGCGAGCTTCGATGATTTTTGGAGGGTCGATAATGTTAATGATGTCGATTTGGAATCAGGAGGAGGGGGAACTCTTGTAGCAAGAGAAATAATATTTTTGAAATTTTTCAGGTTTGGAAATAGATGTATATCTTTTTTTATTTTGTTTTTTCTTTTTCATCTTTTAAGTTAATTTGTAACACTTTCGTTATCTTCGTCCCTTTCGTTTTAAAAAAATATCCATCTTTTAAACGTATATAATTGTTACGAGATAATTGTAATAGAATTATGATGATTGAAAAAAAAGTTAAGTATCATTAAATTCTAAAGATTGTTAAAAGATTGTTAAAGGTATTGGAATATGTTAAGTTTAATCCAAAATTATAATTTCACGTAAAAAGTCTAGTATCGGTTAGATTCTTTTGTGAATATGGAAGGATAAGAAATAAAATTACAAAAAGTTAAAATAAAATACTTCTCTCTAAAATACTAATTATAATCAAATTTAATCGATAATTCAAACTCTCCATTTAAGAAAAATACGAATAAATGTAGACCTCAAAATATTCTTGCAAAGAGATCGTTTAACAACGAATCGTCTGTCTATGCGAAAGAAGAAACACAGAGCGTGTTATTGATATCGAATTCTTCAAGTCAAATAACGTATATCGACAAACGGAATTGCGGTTTGTGTCTTCAACCAATCCCCTCTCTGCGCGAATTTCTCGGAAAATCAACGAACTCTGCTACTACCATTCCTAACCCATGCAAATATGGCTGCTACTGCGTCGTGACTGCAATCGACTCGAAATGGAATTCGTGTGCAATCGTAGTTGAAGTTATGCAATCACGAAGACCGCCATAATCGTGGAATAAGACATTTAATGAAAAGCTAAGCGCGCAGACCACCGGGCAATTGGTAGCGAAGTCGAAATTAATTTTAAAATGAAATTCAAGAGTCGCGATGGATTCAATTACACGCACGTGTTTTTACCCCATGGTATTGAAATAGAAATCTAACTTCAAACTGGTGGTACCTACTTACTTAAACGAATAAATTTACGTATACTTATATTAAATTTAAACTTTTTCGCGTGTGTTTGATTGTGGAGAATTTTTTCTTTTTTTATTTTTAATATTCTCAAATTCATTGTCAACGTTGAAATTTTACGTAACGCGACATAGAAGAAATTTATTCAATCAGATAAAGTATACACGGAGAGCAGAATACTCCATTTCAATAACATTTCTACAGAATTACTCGTCTGTAGGGAAAATTCCATTGAATATAGGGGTCCATTTTGTACCAAGTTATTTGACGCTCGATTAATGATACGAACATTACGGCACACACCCACCCTAAACCCATGTCTCAACCCTTACATGCCTAAGCACCATCGTGGTATTATGCGATTTTGCGAACGATAGATCCGCATAATCCGTAAGGATCGTGGCCGAGAGAGAGGGTGGTGGAGGTGAAAAGTTGAGAAAGACAAAGCAACCCCTTGTGTTTCGTGTAATCGTTTAATCGACAAATCTACAGAAACGCAGTTTATCTCAATTATCGTAGTCGTTTCCACGTGAAAATAATATAATTGATAATCTTTTAAATGCAAAAGATACAAATTTAGAAGAGAAAAATAAAAATATCTTTTATGAATCAATTTTCACTTATAAATTATTATTTCAATGTTTATTTATTATTTAAATCATTTGAAATTAAATTAGAAATTATTTTTACTCTATTTCATTCTTTATAACAAAATTTCTAAAAATTTGAAAATAGATTCGATATAAATTAAGAGAAATGAGTGGAAAATTAACGAGCGTGATGGCAAATTATTAAAAAATATTTATATATATTGCATACAAGATAAAAAAAATTCTACAAAACAAGTTCATGAGAAGATGAGAAATCAGTTACAAATCTGTTCACAGAGTAACTGATTTGGCGAAAACCTGTTCTATCGAAAAGCTGCTCTGGACCGCACTGTTTTCTCACGGCATTTGACCACTGGTCATCTTATGCGCGAGAGATGCGTGGAATACATCCACCCTTAGACGAGTTAGAAGGGATGAAACTGACCGGGGCAGATTTAACAGCTTTAGAAAATTTTGCATATGATAATATATATATTTTTCTTATATCATGCTGATTTGTATTATTTTTTAAAACATTTCAATAATTATTAATTAATTATCTTATTAGTTAATTATCTAAAGCATACATAGAAAATAAAATATATAATATGTATAAAAAATTTTATTAGAATAATTTCATTTAATTTAAATGAAATATTAATTATTATATGATTTACAAATCTTATTTGATAGAAAACTTGTATAAAAAAATTACAATAAAATGTATAAAATATAAAATGAATAATTAAGATCTTTGATAACTGATAAAATATAAAAATTATAAGAATCATCTTATACTTTATTTTTATTATTATTATTATTATTATTATTATAATTTATACATTAAATTTATTCCAAATAAAAATAATAAGGAAAGAATTACAAATAATAAACTGAAGTAAAATCAATGTATAATAAAATTTTATTGAAAATAAATTAATAACTAAACAAATATAAAATCCAACGTTGACGCACTAATTAAAATTGACGCAGATATTATAAATCTCTTATGATTTATCACCCCAAAATTACATCTGAAATTATTCATCGATATAAATAATATATCGACAAAACTGCATTCATAAATTTGCATAAAAACGATCCCTACCAAAAACTCCAAACATTGCAAAATTTCTCGATCATTTGTCCGCGTGAACAGCTGAACGAATTTCGTTACCCATCAAAGAAGAAGAAGATGGAAGAGAGAAGGATAAAAACGCACAATTTGTTTCGGAAATTCGAGAAGCATCGATACCACACGATACACCAGATTCCAAGATAGAAAATAACCTGTTCTTGCCACTAAGGGTGACTAAGCGCTGGACCATCCTGTGTTCTCACGGTGTCGTGGACCAATGGTCATTCTCCGTGCACCGGAGAAATAAAGAAACGAGTCTCCACGTGGTGGGGAATGTTTAGAATTTGAAAAAGAAAATTCCACTTCTTAATTGTTCGCGTTTAACAGCAAAGAACTGGTTTCGCGTATTTCAAGAGACGAAAATCTGGGTTTGTCGGTCAGTATCGGGGATGCTGCGGTCCATGCAGCATCCCTTCGTCTCGTAAAGTAATTTTTCACGATCCAATAATAGTTCTCGACCGTCGTGCTCCAAAGTATCCCTCTCGGCCCGTAAAATAATTTTATTGCGTCTCGATGTGCCTCGCGTTAAAAATTAGTCGTTTCTCAAATGTGTTCGGTCGTAAAACAACGTATAATAAAATTTTACGGCTCTGTTCGTTTTTCGTGGAAAAATAGTGGCTTCCATGATCGGTCCACGTCTTCGTTCTTGTATCGGTGAGTATTTTTTAAATTCTTCTTTTAAGCGATTTAAAAAATTATCGATTTGAATTATAAGATTGAATTTTTGTTATAAGAATGAATTAACAAAAAAAGCTGTTGTTATTATTAATAATAGAAATTATGAAAACATTTTATCACTGTAAAGTAATATAAAATCTCATTATATCCTTTATTTATAATTTTTTTCTCGCTAAGTTAAACATTTGATAAAATATTTTTTTAATCTATGTAACATGACGATTATTCGTATAATCACGCTTATCTTTTAATTTTTTCAAATCTGATTAAATTTCTATTGAAAGTTCTTTCTCTCGTAAAACAGGAATAATTTTGAATTGAAACGATCTCATACTTTTGGCCGATAATGTAATTAGCCGCAAAAACCATAATTGAGGCGCATAATTTAAGGACTTTCTCCGCAAACTTTTTTCGCGAAATGAAATAACTTCATCCTAATGAAATAACTTTAGCCATACCGGTTGGCCATCGAACGAAATTAAAAGGAAGATAAGAGGAGAAAAAAGAAAGAAAGAAAGAAAGAAAGAAATGGAATCGCAGGGAATTGAATTCGCCACTTTGGCGTAGAAATTGGCCGGGCAACTTCATTGAAACGAAATATCGAAATTTCCATCGAAACATTATATTCCAACGGAGCAAAGGTGCTTCAGAGTAATATTCGACGCAAAGCAATATCGCGTTACATGCAGTACCGTGTTCGATGCTCGTGACCGAGCCAGTTTAAGGTTAGAATTATTGATCTAATACTCTGAGGAAGCTAAGCCGAGTGTCTACGTCGGCCGTGAACGTATCTTATATTTCCCATACCATCAGCCACCCCCAACTGAGCTCAAAGCCTCGAGCTTCGCAACCCCAAAAGGAACCCAATAATTAATCGCGTCCCAAGCGAAACACCCTCGAATAGACGTAGCCTGTCACTACATGTTAAATAGATTCCCATATATATAGTTAAACCATGTATATCAAATCATATTTCTTTGAAATATGATTGTCAGTTTCTTCGAAATTCTATTTTGAAAGGATAAAAATTGCTTTGTTCATTTCTTTGAAATACTTTGCATATTCGTATTTCTTTAAAATGATTGTCAGTTTCTTCGAAACGCTTGAAGTACATTTAAGTTTCTTGATATTTATCTTTTTTTTGGGGAGAGAAAAAAAAATAGAATGACGAGAAATGATGGAGATTCTTTTTTCTTCTTGATGTTTGATGAGGGAAATTGTTATAAAAAAAGTTGAATTCAATTTTATGGCATATTGTTCCTTTTCCTTTCTAGATATATATCTTTGTAATAATTATAGGTGCATAGTGAAAGATTTACGTTAAGAATGTATAAATTAATTCTCAAGATATAAGAGTTTTGTAGCATATTAAATTCTAGACATTTCATATCATGATTTTTCAAATTTATAGATATATTGATATCTTAAAATCAATATCTTATGCTTTTCGAATAGTTTGTTTTTTCTGAATAGTATCTTCAAGTTTGAACCAATTAATAATTATATTAGATAATATAATAAATAATTATTCTATATATCTTTGTGCAAAATATTTCCCTTTACATTATAATATCTAATTTTCTACAACAAGTTATTAATCCTTAACTATCATAATTCTTCTATTCATAACTATGTATAACATAAAATATTATAACAAATATTTCAATTATTATAAAAAATAACACATTAACCATTATTTCACTCTTATCTACGAATAATCCTCTTTAAGAGAGTAACTCTCCCCCAAATAAGAGGCGAAGACACATCGAAGAAAGAAACTTGAATCGACACTTTGGAAAAGTCGTGAATCAGAAGCAATTAGGCCGCGCGGGAAGCGCGAGCATCGACAAACACCGACAAATTAGATACATACGTGGAGAGGGGTTGAACCTTAGACGAAGTGTTAGGTCGGTCAAGCCAGGTTGGAAACTACGTGCGGCCGGTGATTACGTCGATCGTCGAAAGAACAAACTCCGGATTGGATTAAGCACACGGCTGCACCGGCACCTTCCCCATTTACCGGTCGTGGCCGGCGCCGCCGCCACGGTTTACCATAAAGTTTACAACTTCTGTCAAGCTCCGTGGCCGCTGTAACCGTACTAGAATGACGACAGACCGACCCTTTGGTCGTCGGTGTCCCTCTACGATCCGCACACTTATGTCAACTCACATTGCACCCTTACTTACGCGCTTGCATGCATGCGAGGAACGACTTTGGATCGACGAAATGAACGATTTGCGATCGAAAACCTCAAATTGCGTGAATTGGTGAATAGTATAACATTCGGCTATTCTAATCGAAATCGTTCGACGAAGAAAAGATTCTGAGCTGAGAAAGGATTTGAAGATGTATTAAATTGTTTATGCAATCGTACATTGATGAATCTTATAAAATTTTTAAAGTGAAATATTTATATATTTATAACAACAGAATAACAAATATCTAAAGTAATGATTATTATCGAATCTCGGATAGAAACAATCAATCTTTTTTTTCTGCATTTGAAATAATCCAATGATAATGAATCAACGAGCATGCAAAAAGAAAGAAAGAACAAAATGCTTACGTAAATAAAAAAAAAATCTGCCAAGCTACCATAACGTGCATCATGGCGAAGCCTCCAAGCATAATGAAACGCGACATCCCCCTGCAATGGACAGTTCGCAGGGGTCTTTTCGCCAGAGGGTCGGCCAGCAACCTTCCTTAATTCGCAAGTAAGATGGCAGCCTGCCGGTCGGCCATTTAATTTCACCGCCCCTTCAGAGTTTCTTAGGTATATACGTGTATAAGTTCTGGAATCGAGGGTGGCGTCGCACGGGGTTACAATCAGGGGACGTGAGAACCGTACAATCATCGTCTCCGCACAACATAGCGAGGAGCAAGGATAATTTTCTCAATTTCGCAGTATCTCCCGCGGGGTCACTCGTTAAGGGCTCTAAGTGAGATTCCAGGGGTTGGTGAGGAAGGTTTTGGGAAGGGGCTGGTAAGGGTTAGACCGTAAGATAGTTTGATAGGCTTGGTTGCCAGGAGACCTCTAAGGCCCTTGCTACCTAATGCCGAGAAAGGCTGCCGCGAATACATATGTACTTCAGGCTTATAAGTGATCCTCCCTATGTATCTGTTCATACGGTGCAGCCTATCTATCGGGCAGAGCCGGGAAGCAGCAAATATCGATGCAAATTAAATGATCTTCCCTATCCCCTGGAGATGCTACGCTCTAAGGATGCCACAATGGACTGTTTAACGTTTTACAGAGAATTGTGTCTTCTCTTTCGAAGCATCCAAGTATAATATCTAAGAAGAGATTGAAATTTCATCGAGGAGAGAATTTAACAAGGAAGTTAAAAATTTATTACCCGTTGGTAAGAGAGGACAATGGGTGGTAGAGGACCAGGCAAGGTATCGAGCATCGGATGGTCGAAGTGGAACAATCGAGCGAAGTGGAACAATTCGTCGGAAACTTGTTGAACTTTCTTCAACGCGTGTGCACTGTATTCTCCTCGACGAGAGACTCCCCTCGAAGTCGAATGTACCGAACGAGTATCGAATAGATGCGGCGGACAATGGACGACACGAAGTTGGAATAATTGAAGTAGAGCGATGAAATTAGAAACAGCGACTGGAGATAACTGAAAGTTGCCTCTAATGATATACGTATTTTAAAAAAAAAAAAAAAAAACGATAGTTTAATTTCACGCGAAATTAAATCGACCATGATTTATTAACGAGATCCGAACCGGTGGAGGAACGAGTGAGTAAAGTGTACGTCGTTAACGACTCGCTAACGATTCGCCATGGATTTCTTGCATGAACGATTTTAGCGAGCCGGCATTAATGTTGTATAATGTACTGACATGCATACCTGGCAGACAACGAGTATAAGGCTACAGATACTCTCGTGGCCAATGGGTGAACGTGGTAGCCCTGTACAGAACAGTTTTACCGATAAGACCCGGCGTGTTTAACAGCCGCCGGCTAAAGCGCCGCTTCTCCACCCCCGCGCTCTCTTAACCACCACGTTCATTCACCATGGGACGTGGACTGGGTGTTACATTCTATACACGCACAGAACTACTAAAGGAGATTCTATAAAACTGTTCCAGCTATGACGTCAGAGACGACCGACATGGTTGCGGTTTAACGGTGAAAGTTCTCTCGTTGAGAACGCGTGGAAAACGCGAGATTTCTCCTGCTTTTTCATTGAGTTTGTAAAGAGTTTGCTTCTGATGAATGTAAAATTTTCTATTTTACGGTAATTAAAAAGAGATGTCGTATTTAATTTAACTTTAAGCAAGCTTTAATAAGATTTCACAATGAAGAGCAAATAATAAAAAAAAGGATAATTAATAAAGCTAAATAAAAATAGAAGCAACGTGGATATCGAACGAAATAAACAAATCATCTTAATTGCAAAAATAAAAAAAAAAATTGGAGGATAATTATGAAAGAGGTATACACATGCTTACACATGCATAGCACGCCTACAAGTGGAACGAATGTGTGCGAGGAATCCCATTGAAGCCCGGCATAAATCTCGCGGTCGAGTAAAAAAGAAGTTTTCAAGGTTACGCGAGAAAAAGAGAAAAAGAAGAGGAGGGGAAAAAGAAGAAAGAAAAAGAAGAGTGGAAGAGTTGAAAGGCGGGGGTTTCCTTCGGTCCAGCGGGATTCGCGTAGCCAGCTCCTGGAGCGCAAGAAACGACCTTAGACCTGGATCAATAGAGAAGAAGGGGGGTTGGTACTCTCCTAGAGGAGAGGGGCGGGTGTAAGGGGTGAATGAGTAGCGAAGGAGGGGGTAGCAGCCAAGAGGATACTGGCGGCAAGTGGCATGGAAGGGGGTGAAGTGGAAAAATCTTAGGTTTCCCGCACGGTGGCGGAGGGAGACTGCTCGAGGATCAAGGTGGGGGTAACCTTAGACAAGAGGCGTGGTCTGTTCCTATTCTCACCCCCGGGTTTCCACGGAGAAGCAACCCTTATAGCCGGCGTTGGAGGCCATGGACGTCAACTAGAACGATCACGGGAACAGATGTCGAGATCTGGAGGAGGATAACCGTGGCAATATCCTTAAAATTTCTTTCCACCCCTTCGTCTTGTCCTGTCTTCTTCGGGCGGTCGAATTCTTCTTCTCTCCCCTTCCTTCCTTTCTCCAACCTTTCCAACCTTTCCAACCCTCGTCCGACTCTTCTCGTACATCCACTGAACTGGGTTTTCTCGCACCAAGAGAACGCGGTCACGTTGAAATTCAGCACCAACAGAAACCAACACGGCAACACGTCTGGAACACCGTCGAACGACGAGTCTCGCGGCGGAGCTTTTTTATCGGCTAACCGGTAGACGAAGCTCGAAGAGTAAAACCCGTGGCAGCCGTGCTTTTTTACGGCGCATGCGGGCGTTTCAGCAGGAACGAAAGTGGGGGTGAAAAGACAATCGAACTAGAGCCGCTTGTTTTCCACCCTTCGTCCCGCGGCCTCGATTCGGGTTTTATTTCGAGGAACTCCGAGGGCGCGGATCGGTTATCGATCCGCCGTTAAATCGTGGAAAAAGGGAATAATAACGTGACCTAGAATCACGTTAAACGGGGTTTCGCGTTTCCCGAACCACGTGAAAATAATCGGAATAAGGGTGAATTTAAATCGTTCGCTTTTAAAAGATGATGGATTTTCATGGAAAATTTTTCGATTTCTTTTTTCTTTTATTTATCAACGATCTTACAATTTTTTTTTCTTTACAATTCCAAACAATGAAACAATTTAAAAAGTTCATCCTAAATCTGAAAATATCCGAAAAGAAACTTGTGCGATAACTATTTTTTCGAAACTATATTTTTCCAAGCAGATCCCAGTTCCATTTTCAAACACCGCCGTAAACATTTCATACGGTTAATCGCTAAAATCCTCCCTCGCCCCTCCCCCACCTCCCCTCCCCCCTCCCTCGAAATCGTTTCCACAAAACTCAGTATATAACGGCGGTGCCGTGCCGTCGAACAAATGGATCACAAACAACGAGACCAAACCGCTTGGCAAACAGGAATCCGCGTTGATTGCCTCTCGGATCCCGTCAAACAGGGGAAAAAAGGGTATACGAACGAGCATAGAGCGCACGCGGTTCCCCTATGGAAACTTTAGTACAACGAAGGTAATCAACGAGCTTATCGACATGTAAATCGTACGATTCGTGACACGGACTTCTGATCGTGCGTGGCGTTGCGCGTACGTGTTTGCGCCGTGCGCGAGAGAAAGAGGGCGAAGAGAGAGCGTGGGGGAGCCGCGGGGGGAGCCCGTGCAACGATAGGCATTTACACGTGCAAATGTGGCAGTACGAAACGTTCATACATTTCGGTTACATTACCGTAGACATCATCGGATGTGTTGACGGGAAATACGAGCATAACTCAACCAAGGCTACCTGCCGGGATTTCGCGAAAATCTCCCTCTCTGTCGGGGCTACACGCTCGTAGTTCCTCCGACTATTGCTACCACCCCTGGCCCTCTCTCTCTCTCTCTCTCTCTCTTACGACACGCATCACGCATTTTCTCTCCCTCTCCTCCGCATACGCGGTGTATCTCCTCTCCTCTATTTATCTCTGTCTGTTTCATTCTCCGCGCACCCCCTATTCCTCCCCTCGGCGGTGGCCGTTCTCCCTCGTGGTGGCGAACCCCTTCGGTTCCTCGCGCCCGTTTCCACCTCCGCGCTGTCCACCACCTCTTCCTGTCTCTCTCTAACGTTGCCCTGAGTGATGACGTCATTTCCTACGGAGCATTATACATCTCGCAGCATATTTCCGTCCACCGATTAAGATTCGGATGGAAAACGAGATTTTCTGGAAAAGCCCGCTCATGGTTTCGAGTCGAACGTCGAACGCGAGATGAAAGGGGGGAAAAATGGGTAAATTTGACGAATTGTGATTAGATGGGATAATGAAATGGGTGTAAGGGTGACAGAGATTTACGTGTGTCGAGATTAGGAGCGAAGGAAGGGGATTCATTATCGCGATGGATAAGTTTAATTGCTCGAGACTGAGTAATTTCATTCACAAAAATTTATTTGACGAAGAATTTTATTAAGTTTGTCTTGAAATATTAAACTCTGGTGGCAAAAGCTAATAAATCTTCGTTGATACCTTCTTTTTTTCTATCTATTTTAAAATATTATAGTAATAGTATAGGTTTTATGATAAATTATATAGAAATAATTTTGTTCGGTTAAAAAGAAGGAGGTGTGATTATTTAAAAACACGTCACGTTGTTTAAGCGTGAAATTGTAGGAAGAATTTATTAGAGAAAATGAATTTGAAACGCATAAATGCAGATACCACATCGTTAAAGCGAAAGTGCAAACTTTCTTCGGCGTTTCATAAATTATATAACAATCAGGAAACGTATTACATGGAAATGGTCTTTTTCAAGCAACTATTTCGTATTTGGTGTTAACATTAAGAACCACATTAAGAACCACATAAACGTACATCCGTACAATTTGCAATCTAAACGGTGAATGCGATGCTTTTATTGTTATGGGTACGTAAAAGGCGAATTGCCATGTCCCTTTCTATTTGATACATTGGCAATTGCTCACATAATGCAAGATGACCATTCCACGATTCGAGAACAATTTGTATCGAACATTTTTAAAGTTTTTTTTAAATATTTATTATCAAAATTCCTTTTCATTTACGTTCGACAACATTCGAAACTCTTCGAGTATTTTTTATTGCATCAAAACTATTTAGAAAATAGAAAAAGTTAAAAAGAAATATTCGAAATCAATTATATGTATTTGTTGAATATAAAATATTATTATTGTTTATCAAAAATAAAAACTTTATTTATAAAAATATATTATTATAAAGAATAGCAAATTTTTCAAAAAGTTATTGGATAAGTTTCATTGCAAATATTCAAAATGATTGCCAATTAATTTTGAGCATGGTCGTAAAATTAAAAATTGAATTTACATCCAAATGCTTTTTAAAGATGATAAGCGTTTAAATATCGCGAAAAGAGAAAATTTCTCGCGGCGGAGAAAAGATTTTCTACTCTCGTTTTACTTGATTTCCAGCGAGCACATTTGCACTTTTACTTAACGCTCAACGATCCTCGAACGGAACAAGCTTTCTTTCAACCTATTACCTGCGAAACGACCATCGGATTACTACACGGTAATCGTTCTGGATTACGTGAAAGGAATACAAATCCAATTACACTGCAATAAAAATAATAAATACAATCATCTTAAAGGAAAGAAGAAATTGCAGAAAATTAATTGAATCTTTTACAATCGTTAAAATTAAAAACATCGCCTCAACATCAGAATGTTAGAAATTATGCAAATAATTATGTTTATCGTTTTTTCTTCTTTTCATAGATTCGTTTTAATAATCGAATCTAGAACACAGAAAACAATAATTGTAAAATCTTTTTCTCTTTTAGAGAAAAAAATAAAAGAGAGATTACAATTATAATAGATTTATTTGAAATTACGATATAAACATTTAATTATTCGTGATATCTTCGGTATAAGGAATAATACTTCTTCCACTCATCTAAAAAGTGAATTCACATATAATTCTCCCTAATAATTCGTCCTATCTTTCTTCTTCCTTCGAGATACGTAATTACGATGAATCATACCATACTCGTGCACGAGTATTAAAATCCGGTCACGTAAAGTATTAATTCGAATTCCTAAAATTTCATCGTCCAAAAATTCGTCTCATTTGAATATTCTTGAATAATCAATATCCCCGTGAATATCACTCGTAAAACTGAGACAAAGACGAAGAGAAAAGACTGGATACGGGGTCAACAAGTTTGCCAAAGGATCCGTTTGGCCCGCGATCTCCGGCAAAAACTTGTCGCCACTGGTCGAAAACTTATCAGCGCGTAATTAACGGCGAAGCAAAGTCGTGTCGTGACCGGGCAAAAAGCCTCTCGCACGGATACAATCCCGTAAATTTCGCGGCCGAGCCAACCCCCTGTCCAATACCGAGCAAGAAAATCCCTTGTTCGCTGTTTTGCACGAGTCCTCGACGCGACGTGTTTGCCGGAATCAATTGTTGTTCGGGGTTTGTTTGCGGCTGGGCCGCGCCTCCCAATGAGCCAGCGCGGAAATATTACCGCAGCAACGCGAGAAATTACACAATCAGCGCAACTGTAACGCCGCCGGATCGTGTAACGTTGAATTGCGAATCCTACGACGCGGAGAACACCTCGCGGTGATACGTGGCTTTCTCGAATCAAAAATTCCAACCGTTTCCTGGTTGCGTTCGCGTGGTTTTCAAGGATGCAAGAGTCTATTCGGGAGTGTGAAAATTTTTGAAAGTTGCTTTCGAGAGAGGAGCTACTAAGGGCATTGAGAATGAGATGAAGCGAAGAAATACGAAGAATTGAAGTTTGATTAGAAATTTAATAATTGGTCAAACGAGTGTTTGTATTTCGGTTTTTTAAATTTTTGTATTTTTAAGAGAATTCTATGGTACAATATTGTATAATATTCGTAAGAACTGAACTAAGAAAGATTTAATATTAGGATTTAATATTCTTCATAAATGAAAATGAGTCCAAATACTATTGAAGAAATCCATAATATATCAGCAAATTAATGCATGTACTTTTAAAAATCTTTATTAAAATTAGAAATGTAATTAATTAATAAATTAATAAATTAATATAATATAAATTTAGAAATGCCCACTTGGAGCACCATATATAATGACAAGACAAGTATAATACACACGATTCGTTTACCCGGTAAAGCCATCAGAGGAATCAGAAACAATAATCACAGAGAACTTTAGAATGAAAGCTTAATTAATGAAATGAGTATCTCGAATAGTCTCTCTCTCTACTTTGACAGGAGAGAATTAATTAATTCTACGTTAATATATTTAGCAACATATCCTGACAATTTAAAAATATCAATTATTTCACAATGATAAATTTATTGAATCCCGAAAACAAATATCAAATGCTCAATCTTTTCTCACCTTCATTCTTTTGTTAAAATCAGTGAAAAAAATTTTTGTCTAACACTTTTGATCCTTAATAAAAAAAATTCAAATTATATTTCTAGAATTCGAAAACACGGGAATATAATTTCATTATAATTTCATAGAAACAAGCCACTAAGAATTTTTCAACATGGAGCATACCTTTGGCTCTCGTGGCAAAGATTCCAACTCATGGATAAATGCGAAACCAGAATCCTCGAGGAGCGTGCACACAAAAACTGGAAATCGACGATCTTACCCGCGTGCATCCGAAAATCCCACGGGACACCTTCTGCTACCGGAATCCCTGGACC